ATAAACTTATAGCAATGTCTTTAAATGCATATTCAGGGTTGTTGGAAGAGAACGACATCTTCAGGAACGCACAGGCTGGTGTTCTCATCAGCACAAACAGCCACCCGGTGCTGCGGAAGAACCGGATATTTGACGGCTTTGCTGCAGGTCGGTAGAAGGTTTAAGGTCAGAAGTGCGTACATGCTGCCACCGTGGTGGTCTTAAGTTTTATGTAATGGTAATTTGGTGTGAAATAATGAAACACAGTGCTATTGTAATTATTGTGAATAAAACGCACATTCTGAAGTTCTTGAAATTGAAATTTGTGTGTAGTTTTTGTGCCGTTTTTCTAATATTTAGCTCAAATAACACTCTCTCCGTCCCCCACTTTAGGCATTGAAATCACAAACCATGCAACGGCGACTTTGGAAGGCAATCAAATATTCAACAATAGATTTGGAGGCTTATTTCTAGCCTCCGGTGTCAATGTTACAATGAAAGGTAAACGTCTAACCGACTGTCTTTCTCATTTTAACAATTTAATAATATATAATATATGTAATATACATCTTTTTCATAACTTTCTAGATAATAAAATCATGAACAATCAGGATGCCATAGAAAAGGCAGTGAGCAGAGGTCAGTGCCTGTACAAGATTTCCAGTTACACCAGCTACCCCATGCACGATTTCTACAGGTAATCAGAAGGCAGGCAGTCTGCTTTGAAAACCAACAGTAATGGTTGTATTTCACCATGTTCCTTTCTTTTCCAATAGGTGTCACACCTGTAACACAACAGACCGGAATGCAATTTGTGTGAATTGTATCAAGAAGTGCCACCAAGGGCATGATGTGGAGTTTATACGGCATGATAGGTCAGTGCAATATACTTCTCTGTGTATTCTTTTATGCTCTCCAAAAATACAGTAAAATATTACAATTTCAAGAATAGAAATTGTAACTGTAAATGCCTTTAACAGTCAAAAAAGTATTGTTTTTTTTGTTTAAATCCACAAAAAAAGTTATAGTTCCTGGTGAATTGCAGAATTAAACATTTTCTGTCATTTTTAGCGCACGGAGAGATTCTGCTCTAATCCGTTTTAAAATCTCTCCCATCTAGGTTTTTTTGTGACTGTGGCGCGGGTACATTGTCCAATCCTTGCACATTGGCCGGAGAGCCGACCCATGACACGGACACTCTGTATGACTCGGCACCTCCCATAGAATCCAACACATTACAGCACAACTGAGAGCGAGCTCATCCTTCATCACAGCACCCTGGTCTTTATCTTACCTGCCTACAAATCCAGAGCGCCTGCCATTTCTGGGCCAGTGAGACCTGGTGTGCAAAGTGTGTGGATAACAAAAGATGTCAGACTTTGAATTAATCATTTTAAGAGAAACTATCTTTGGAAAGGTGAAATGCAGAACTCTCTGAAACCGTGTAAAGCTGCCTCAGTACTGTGTGCAGACACTCCTGTATATTGCTAACTGAGAATGCAAGGAGTTCTCTCCACATCTGCTTGGGAGCGTGATGGATGATTTTGAAGAGTGAAATATTGTGAAGCAATATGTTGACTCAGGATTATGGAGATTATGGAGGTGGATGCCACAGTGTTGGTGTTTGGGAAGGGACTGGAGTAGACTTTGTTTGGTCCTTCCAATCGTATAGCCCTACGCTGTGCGCCCTGCCCTGTGCAACTTCAGTTCCATGTGGAGATTCAAGACAAGTTCTGCTGCAGTTTATGTACAGATGTGACCGCGACCGGAGCCACTAGGAGCTACAGATTGCGGTTCCTCAGATTAGAGGCAGAGCCATACCAATATGGCTCCCCGGCGACTTTTTTTTGTTTTGTTTTGTTTTTTTGTTTTTGACAGCAGATGTGCTGAAATATATGTATGATATAAAAAAATTAACAAAAAAAACAAACAAACAAACAAAAAAAAAACAATGTGATTAGCACTTGCTTTTTTATTTTAAATATGTTAATATGTTATTCTGATCTACAAATATGATTTTAATGCTTTCTCATGTAGTTTTATATTTTCAGGCAAAAAAAATCTTACTGTATTTGAATGTCTTTTATTTTATTATATATTATTATTGTTATTAATATTTTTTTGTTAGCACACATTAGGCTTGCTGTAATCATACACATGTCTCAGCATATAAGTTCTTTCTGTGAAAGAGGAATAACAAAGAAAAGATCAGAAAACGAACACTAAATTGTCCTCCAGCATTTTTTTTTCTTTTTAATGAGATGACTTCTTTAAAGTTAAATTCTTTTATGTGAGTGATTGATGTGTGGAACTTGCGGTCGTGCATTTTCAGAAATGTTTGCATCACCTTTGTTGCTGCCATTATTAGAAAAGGGTTATTTTTGCCTATTGTATATAACTTTCTCACCCTCCCTTTCTTAGTATTTGGAGCTTTCATCTCCAAGCGGTTTGAAGTGTTAACTAAGGGCCCAAAGAATTCTGAAACATGTTTGACCATTAATCTTACAGAGAATGTAAAGAAAAGATTTCTATTAAAACAATCCCTGAACCAGTTAATTTTTGTTCATGTGGTCATAGCATCACTGTTAAAAGTGCATCCTGACTATTTTATTGCATTCTTTTGGGCCCATGGCCTGACTTGTGCCTGTTTTAAGTATGATGCTGATTTTGAAAAGCCTTGCTGGAGTTGGTTATATCAGAGGCTTCTGGCCTCTTTAAAGCTGAGACAAGTATCTCTACAGCCCCATTGTCTTTTTGCCCCTCAAACTCCATCTATGTGTAATGTGGTGACTGTGGCTTCTCATGCAGCCTGAATTTTATGCATGTGTACCATAACATCTAGACTTAATATATTGTGAAGTCTTCAATAACCATTATGTAGATGCTAGTATGGATTTTAAAATGGTTTAATTTCCTAGAAAAGAACAGAAACTGGTCATTTTTAAGAAAATAAACTTTATTAGATCAAGTCTGGTTGTGTTTGTTTTTGTTGAATACTAACAGTACATTACACATGTCAAGAGGAAGTTTGTTGTTTAAAAACACCCGCTTTATGGGTTGCACTACTTTCTTCCTGTCCATAAAGCCATGAAAACATCTGTCACTATACGGTTCAACAGAATAGTATACTGCCTTCAGGAGCTTGTTAAATATGATTTGATTAAAGCTTTTGTAAGACAAAACCACCCTGATTGCAGGTGTTAGCTTCCTGTAATATAATGCATATACTCGACTTGTGCAAATAATGGAAGCAAGGTCCTCAAAGCAGGTCCTCTCTGTAGTAGACTTATAGACTTATATAGCACTGTACTTTATCTAGTCTGATAAGAACAACTCATGAAATCATAAACCATTCTCTTCCCATTATTCCTGAGTAAATATGCACCATCTTTACTGGCAAACTGCATTGACTTTTAGACATTCTGTGGCATACTGACATACTCTTGGTTCAAGTATTTGTATTTGATACAAATAATTCCTAAATTTGTGTGATTTGGGATCAGGGCCATAACTCTAACCCTAACCATTGACACAGTTTTGGGTTCTCAATGACTTACTTTTGTCTGCCCCAGAGGTGGACATAGTACACAGCTTTATTACTTGAGTAAACGTACAGATACCCCTTGCTAAATTTTACTCAAGTAAAAGTGCTACAGTCAGATATCTACTTAAGTAAAAGTACTAAAGTACTTGTTTTTAAGAAACTTGTTTAAGAAAATTTCAGAAAATTCAGAAAACTTAGTCTGGCAGGGTGGGGCCACGGGTTGGTACATTCCCCGAATGGACCTGCTGGGTCTTCATTCATTATTTCGTCCATGGTTTCAAATCTGAGTTGTAGTTATGTGGAAAATCATGGCACACAACTTGAACATGGCACACTGACACATCTGCGCCACCACATTAACATTTGATAATTACATTGAAGAAAATGCATGTATTCCATGTCTGCAATAAATAAGTGGATAAGTGCAAGTGGTTTCTATAAATGTATTTGGCATAACGTAAAAATAAATGAATTCATAATAAATGAAATAAAATATTCAATTTTGCATGACTCTAAACCTGCGAGATTCATGTTGAGAGTGTCACGTGTGAGGACCTTTGAGAATGAAGTCAGTAAGCTGTATCTCCTCTAAACTTTGTCCTCTGCTAAAGACAGGCCCCTTCTTCGCCCCACACTGCCATACATCAATCATGTGATGACCCAACATGCATGAGGGTTGCATAAACAGCTCCTATAATGAGGCTACAGTTAACTCACTTTTACTTATTTCTAATTGTTTAATAAGATAATGCAGGCCTGCATTTTAGTTTACAATTTAACCCGTTTAGATTTAAAGATATGGTCTCTTCACTGCTTCACTTCAGCAAAACTTAGATATCATTTGGTATTAAAACTGTCAGTCAGAACTGATACATTGCACAATAGAAATAACTATTACAATATCAAAATGTTGACTGGTTATGGCTGCAGACATTTTTGTCTCTCTAACATAATTTCAGACAGGAAGGGTTAATATTTACCAGAGGATATCAAAGTAGGCTAACTTACAATAAAACTCTTATGGTCATAGTCCTGAGTTTCCAAAGAGATACATTTTTCTGGAGCACAACACTTACATAAGTTTGCCTGGTAAGTTTTGTTAAGCACTTCTCTAACGTTACTTCACATCGTGCAGTAGCCTGCGATTGGACGACGAGCCTCCAGGTCTCCCCCGCGAAATGACGCAACAGCATCTGACCTCGTTTCCAACGTAAGCTGGTTGGTCAGGTCAAACGCCATCTAAGTTACTACAGCCTTAAAATATAAAGCATATTCTCAATGAGAATGTGACTTTAAACATGTCTGCATCTACACCGACTGGTTAGCGACACCGTTTAAAAAAAAAAAAAAACACCGAGTTTTGTTTTCTTCACAAACCTCGAATGAATAACGTGGTGCAACGCGGAGCGCGTGCTGAACGCAATTGCTTAGGTTTGCTAAAAAAATGCTACTGCGATGCGGCAGTTGTCAGGGGGATATCGGAGAGGAGGGGGTGTGATTGGCTGAAGTGGCCCTGTTGCCTTGGTGACGGCAGGGGGGGTACGGAAGCGTTGCCGTGCGGCGTGATCTCCGCGCTGCTGCGTGGATGGAGGAAGCAGCTGCTGATCTTTTGACACAGCGCGAGCGAAAGGCTACTGCATGAAAGCACGGCAGCTTTTGTCGTCGGACGCGACAGTAGAATGCACGAATGTAAGTAAACGCTTTGTAATGGGTTACTAATGCTGTTTATTTAAAGGGGAATCGTACATGTCATCGCGTTTTAAATCAGATGACAAGTATGAAACGTGTCTCGTGAAAAACAAAAATCTAGCCAATAACAAGCCATTGACCTCCCTTATGTCGGTGTTAACGTTGTTTTTTTTTTTTTGTCGTTGAACGAATTAATTATTCATTCGTTCACCTTTCGTGTTTAAATATAGACTCGTCAGTTCTATTCCCAAAATTATTTTAGAAACATTTTAGACCATGTGATCTTGCTAGCTAACTTAGTTGAGTGAAATGCATGCGCTTGCCGTCGAGCTGACACGAGACATTAAACCAACCAAATACCAGTAATTTTCGTATACTTTTCCTGGATGAATACTCGAAAACAATAAGTATATCTATCACAGGACGCTGTTTAATTTCGCTTGGTGTTCGGAAGCTCTCCGCGGAGCTCCACGCATTAGCTTGACGCTAACTGAAGATCCTCATTCTAAAGAAGACTGGCCAGCATTCTTGTGACATTATCTGCGGAAGTTTCAGAACGCACGACAGATATGCAGTCATAAAATATTTGTTAAGATAAAATTACAATTCAAAACGATTGTCGTGAACGCGCCTTTTAAATTTATTTGAATGCTCAAATATCAGAGGGATCATTCGAATAGAACGCTAATCGAACTATCCTGATTGTCGCCTGTAACAACAGAGTAATGCTAAAGGTTACAGTTGAAGGTTACAAATACATATTCAGTTTGTGGCGAGTAGTGAGAATCTAGGGCAACTATGTAACACGAGAAGTGAGATGGGGGGTTGTTATTTTCTTGTTTTGTTTTGCTTATTATTACATGTGTTGGTTGTACTGTAAGCTTTCGTTAAGATCGAAAGCAAAGGACTGATAGTTTTGCTCGTGACTTGTTGATGAAATGCGATGTTCTGACGCAGACGTGCACTCATTATTTCCGGCGGCAGATAACGCCTGAGTGACATAGACACGTGGTCAGAGACTACTAGTGAACGCATAGCTGTGCTTGCTTAGGGAAGAGCTGGAGAGACGAGTACACAACTCTAGCTTCGTGTCACATGAGCACATTATTTAGTTCTGCTGTCTACTTTTGCACTTTAGACTATAGACTCATTCAGGTCATGTTGCGTAGGCAGTGAAAAGGGTGTCTGTGTTGTTAACAGGGTTGTCATGTATTGGCTTTTATTTGCAGTATGACCACATTAGCTGTATCCACAGTGTACAGAATTCAGATGCATGGCTGGCTGTATCAGAAAGGGCACAATTGCCTTAAGAGACTTCATTAGTACCGAATCCTGCGCTAATGTAGAGAATGGCAATAGTGTCTGTGCAGTGCTGTTTTCTCTGGAGGGCTTTTGTAGGACACAGCAAATGATCCCTTGCTTATTGCTTCTCTCCTGGCATTAAACGGGAAATTAATTATTCTCATTATGACTCTCACAATGATAGATAAGATCTGGCTCTTGGCTGTATGCGTGTTGCTGTCCCAAAAATGCAGAGTGTACAAGTTTAAATCATTGTTTTTTTTTTTTGTTTTTTTTTTGGTGCAAGGTTCAACCAGGTTTGAGTGTCTTTATAAAGAAAGAATACAAAAAAGTGTGTGTGTGTGTACAAACATCCAAACCTAGCTGAATCTTTCAGACAAAACAAAATGAAACCACTTTCCTTTTGATGAGTTTGAGTGCATGACAATAAAGTGTTTAAAACAATAGGCAGAAACACATGCATTTCAGTAGATGTTTCATTCTCTTTGCAAGAGGGGTATAAAAACAACAACAGTGTTTGTCTTGTAAGTTAAACCACAAATTTATATTTGTCATCTCTTCCTGGTTGAGTTGCAAAACATTTAAATGAACATCCAGTTGCTTTCCTCCAAAGATTATCGAACATGCTTTATAATTGTTTTAGTAGTAAAACTCATTAGCTTTTCCAAACTCAATTGAAAAGCAAATCAAACTTATGTCCAAGCTTTTATGCGGCCTGTAACGACAATGCCTTTGTTTGCTGACCCCTCCTCCTTCCATCTTCTCATTATACCTCCAGCTGCACATATTTCTTGTCTGCTGTTAGCCTCTTTTTGTTCCTCAATGCCCTCAACGTTAGACCAGAAGGCGCAACTCGCATCCCCAGGAGGCTATAACGCGGTGGTTGCCATGGCTACATGGTGACACCGGGGCGTGGTAATCAAATATAGGCGACTGCTCTGGATTTCAGTTGCAAATGTGTGCTTTTTTCCCCCCTGCATTTGCCTGGACCGTGTCACACCTCACGCCTCACGCCCACTCCAACCCCCAACTCAATCTTGGGTTCTTAGACTTGGTCTGTCACACTCGTCGTTTAGTTCTTCGTCTCCTTTCTGAAGGATTTAAGTCCGTCGAGCAGCCGGCAGCCAGTTAGGGCCCCTCTGTCCATTGACAGTGATGCTAATGTCAGGCAGTGCCTTGATGAGAAGAGCTTGCCCCCAGTACCATAGCCTGTGTCATTGTGATCACAATAGCCTCCATTGTGTTGGTCACTCTTGTGTGAATAAACAGGGTGTGTTTAATTGAGACTGTAGGGTGTGACAATGACATGGGACGAAGTCCAGATAGCATGCTGTGAAGATGTGTGGAAGCTTGTATGGGTGAAGGTTTGTATGCCACCACCATGGAACAAAAATAAGAAATGGAAACCCTGCTGAAGTTTAAGATCTGCTTCAAGCAAAATCGAACAATAAACTTGTATGACATAATTCAGAACAAAGTCAGTCTAAAATGAAGAAAAGCTATCTTCGGCTGGTGAACAGTTTCAAACTGCCATTGGTCTATGGCAATTACGTAATAGAGTAGGGGTGGAGGAAAAAAAATGATTCTTAGATGCGAAAATCGATTTAAAAAAAGTAATAATATTTTTATAATAATGTAATATTGACTGAATGCAAAAGACGGAACTCTGCCCAGTGTATTTAGCTATGTATGTAATGCGCTAATTGGTGGGCTGGGCTAAACCAGTCGTGTAGGTGTTGATCTTCTTTCTTCTGCGGGGCTGGTGTTTTATCCTCTTTGACCTCATAGTTCCCCACTTTGAAAAACGTGTCGCTTGCTGAGGCTGGTGTCAATAAATCTTATATTGGGCTGACAAGGACATTTTCAGTTCTGAAACTTACAGGATATTCTTATAATATGATGACCTCTTAGATGTCAAAAGCTCAACGAAAATTTGATTTCTCAGTTAATCAACCCTTTTAACTTATTTAAAAACATTTCCCCAGAAAGTTGAAGTTAAAATAGTTTTAACTGATGGCGTTTAATCTCTCGACAGCCTCTGTTGTCCCATTTAGCCACTTGTTACTTTAACACATAACTGCTTCAAAAAATCTGGTAGTGTAATTCTGACGTATTTTATGTAGATATATATCTAAAATAAAATAGAATAAAATTCATATAGAATAAAATTTGAAAGTGTCTTGAGCTTGTGTTCACCACAGACCGTATTTCGACCATTTAACCAAGATTTAAATTCTAGTTATTAGCGTAAAAAAATAACCTCTACAGTCATGCAGTGTGATAGACAGATATGTTTTAACATGGCTTGTATGAATCATATTTCATCCTTCCTTGCCCCACCGCTTGTGTGCAGTGGTGTGTAAAACTTAGCATTTAATTGCACAGACTAATTCACAAAATTCAAGTCATGATTTTCTTGTAGTATTTGTGAATGTGCAAAAACTGTGATTCTTTGGTGCTTAGTTCAAACTGCGTGCTTTCCATTTAGCAAGAACATTTTGTGATAAAAGCACCAAAATGTTGATAGCCTGAATGGGGACAGACAATTTAACGCCAAATGGACTTGTTTATAAATCTCTGCATCTATTAGAAATAAATTAGAGGCTTTACAGATGAATTACAGTGAATTTGTTATGGAATATTAAGTACATGTTTTAAAAAAGTTAAGTTGTTTAGAAGCTAACAAATAGGAATAATTTCTGAAATAATGAACTCATTTGTTTGTATGTAAATACGATTTGTTTAAATTAATTTTAATTACATTATTTAATGGAAAATCAAAACAATTCTGACACAAGTTTTGAAATTTAATAAAACAAACTAAAGCATTGTTCATGTGGTGTCTTTACAGCTGTGGATTACAGCTTTCAAGCTTCTAGAATCCTTGCAGCATATGAATGTTTAAGAAGCTTTAGCTTTTAAATGTGATTCAGAGTTGTGGAGAAAACTAGCCCTGAACTAACTAACTAACAACAACAGGGTCTTTGTACTGTATGATTTTTTTAGTTTCTTAGAGCCTATTGTGACTGGAAGTAAATCCATTAGTCTCTGTCAGATGTCTCCTCGGAATCAAGGAAAATACCTGAATTCTGGATTATACAGAGAAAAATAAAAAAGTAGTTATTCTCCAACAGTTTTCTAATAGTGTTAGGTGACCTTCCTGCTGAGCTTTTAGATCAGCTCTCACACAGTGACAGAGATACGCTGTGAGCCCTTGAGTCCGGACTGATACTTGACAGACCAATACCAACCGCTACAGGAATCGAGACAGAACAGCTCTCCGCTTGGTGTTCAGCAGAGACGTCCAATTGAAACGGGCTGTTTAAGCATGCTTAAACACGTAGAAGACCCCTTGATCTCCATCTCCAACTGTTTTATTACAGATGCACATGCTCATCCCAGTACTCTGTTCTGCAAACATCAGCGGTTCAATACTGAATAAATCCTCCTTCTAACTGATGGAATTTTGATAGTGGGGATAAAAAGAAAAAACAGGTTGTTCTTTGTAAAATCCCTTAGATAATTTCATTCTCTGTCTTTACATTTGTTTCATTGCGACTTTAACATTAGTGTGTGTACATAAACTATTCTGGATAATTATCAGTGACATTAAATAAATGGCATAGCTTTCCCAGATTTAATTCCTAGAATTAAAATGGTATAAGTATTTCTCAGCTGTCCCTCCCATTGACCAAAGTTTACGCATAGTGGGTTTGTTTGGGCGTATTTCTGTTTGATGTTGTTAACCGTGGTTTAGTGTCACCATTAGCATTGTCTGTATGTGTGGATGGGGGGTTGGTAATGGGCTGATGAGTTTGTTGAAGGGAGTTAGATTTGTCTTGCTAATGAGTGCCACCATAAGAGCAGAGATACAGTCTCCTCCTGGGGCAGAAAGGAAAGCAGAGTCTACTAAATGTGCTTTGAAGGACATACTGCTGTCGTCCATGCCCTTGAGTGACCATGAAGAAAGACATCCAAAGAGAATGGTACTGGAAAATAAAATGGCATGTGAAAATTAACAATTCATGCTTGTAAAAGCAAATCTACATTTCTGAGGCTAAGGCCTTGTCCACATGGACACGGGTATTTTTATAACCGGAGTTTTTCCTCCTGCGTTTAAAAAAAAAAGAATCCCGTCCACATGAAAATGCATAAACACGCTATCAAGTGCTGTCAAGAGCATGCCACACCAGCAGGCGACAATATAACCCTAACCGTAAAGCCACGTTGGCCAATCAGAAGCCTAACAAAAAGTTATTACAGGTTCCAGTTAGTGGATAACGGTGCAGCGTGGGCTCATGTACCCTGACGTCGCAAGGCAAAAACCCCGGTTTCTCTGTCTACACGACAACACTGTTTCTGAAAATCCTCACCCCGACAGGGGTTTTCAAAAAATGTTTGGTTTCAGTTTCCTGACACCGCATTTCCGTGCGGACGAACAGCCGAACCTCGTAAACAAAGTCACAAAAAAAGTAAAAATTAGAGCCTGACCGATATGGATTATTGGGGGCCGATACCGTTAAAACAAGCCATATACTGATATATTGGCCGATATTATTAATGTGTATATTATAATACAGTAGCAATATTATGTATATTATAGTACACTACCATTTTGATGGTTGTGCGTGTGAACTGCAACTCGTTTCATAAATTAACCGAAACTCAGTGTATAGACCTGAGAAATATATCTATATTGAAATGTCTACTTTTAAACAGAACAATTCAAAACGAAAAACAGACTCTCTGTTGTAATCCGTATGAAATGTGCATTTCTCTCTGGCGAGTTCACTGAAGATCACAAGTCAGCGTTGTCAACTTTGCAGCGACACTGACTGAAAACACTTGTTTATCAATAAACAATTAAAATGGCTATATTTGATGTATTCTCAATCATTACGTTTGCCAGTTCTTTGTGACAGCTTTTATGGGCTTTATTGGCTGCACCACCCTTACATGAATCATCGCACTCGCATTTAAAAAAATATATATTTATCGGCCGTAATAAAGGCCGATACCGATAATTAGGAAAAAAATACCTGTGTCCGTGTGGACATGGCCTAAATCACTAAATATTGAGAATGCAACAGCACATGATATTTTTCAAATCGTCCACTGATCGGAACCAGCTGATAATTACTTTTTTGGATTCTCAACTTGCATAAATCGATCACATTTTATTGATGCAAAAGATACGCGATGAGAGACTAAAATGAAAGGCTGAGCATTGAAAGTTACTCAGTCTTCACCAGGCTAGAGTAAAATACTAACATGGTTTATGTTTATACTTTAAATTCACCCCCTTCATTAAAGCATTATAATAAAAATTCAAGTTTAAAATCAAATCTAAAATTAGATCTATGCATTAGGGCTGCACAATCCTACACTACAGACACTACAATTAAAAAAAGGAACGTGCCTGCTTAATAAATCATAAGCTGAAAGAGTTGCAGCACAGATCAGCATCAGAAGTCAAATTTCATTTTACCACGAGAGTGAGGAGCTGACTGACAAGATGATGGCGGAATATTTGGTGTCAAAGTGAAATGTAAAAGTGCCTATTAAAAGCTTTTTGGGTTAAAAATCACAAGTACAAAACTACCTGCTTGCCTTAGCTCGATTCAAACCTGTAAGCTTGGAATAATGTTTTTAATTCCAGTGGTATTGGTGGATTTCCACAGGAAATTCAAGCATGTTTTTGCGTCATTACGTCACATCTGTACACATAAAGAAGGAGTCTCGGCTGGTAGGCTATATTGCGTGTGAGGATGTTGGAGGTGGAGATTTATAGCCTTTTCTCACAGCACTTGATATAATTAAACTTATCAATTTGATGGCGGATCCAGAAAGGCTCAAACGACACTCACCAGTGACCACTGGAGATTCACCAGTTGTAAATTGTAAAAGACTTCGGAATGACTACAGTAAAAAAAGAGACTGCAACTGGGCCCATGTGAAAACAATAATATCTGAAGGCCATTAAATATAGTCACGCAGTGCTGATGTTGTTAATATTAACAATTTGAGAACAAAGTATAATTTGCACGGTTTGACGTGATATGATAAGCGACACACAGTATATCACAGGATGTACTTCCAAAAAGTATATTCTTTGATTCTAAATGACAGTATCCACACACCGGCGAGGTGACTGACAGCTGCACATTCTCCTCAAAACATTGGATCCATCTGCGCTGTGCTCAGGCACAACCCACGTAAAGTTGATGATTCCTGAAATATCTGCAATTGCGGATTTCGAACAGAGATGGCGACAAAGAGGAAAAACTACAGACTGCAGCTTTAAGCGAATTTGTCATTGTACTGTTTTGTTCTTGTGTTTTTCATTAAGAATTATAAGCTAATGAACTCGCTCACCATTTTTAGTTTTGCTTTCAAATTAGCTATTTAAAAGCCCCTGCCGGTGAAAGCACCTTAGCACCTTTTATTACAGTACTCATGTGAAAATGATGATGTTTATTTGTCTGGTGTTTTAAACGGTCTGAAAGAGGAAGTGGAACCCCCTCCCTGTGCCCTCCACTCTATTCTCCAGAGTGGGAGAGAGAGTGATTCAGAGCAGCACTTTATATGATTATTTATTTATTGATGTGCTGTATGGTTTCCATGGCAGTGGGTATAATAGTGGGCAGAGAAACATTTACTCCCCCAGGCACTCAGCCCTCTTTTACTTGAGCTGATGATTTATTTATAAATATCCTGTGTGCTTTCCATGGATGTCCATTAAAGCCATTTGCTTAGTCTGTGGCAGGTAGATTTCTGATTGGTATTTGTGAGTTTTTCTCTTGTTTCTTCAGTCTGTGTGGGGCCACCATGCCAGCCACAGGTTGGAACTGGATATCACTTATCCTCTTCATCCTTTTCTTTGTCTTATTATATGGGGCTGATAACAGACCTGCACGTCTTCAGTGGCTGTCTAAGAACCCTCTAATCATGAATCTTCTCTAAGAACCCTAGTGTACACTCTGTAGTTGTTCTGGTGTGGTATCGTCTTGAAGATGAGGGTCATGGCTCTCTCAGACACTTGAGTAGATGCCTAAGAGGCCCTTAACTTTGTCCTAAAGGGCCTCTTAATTCCCTCAAGAGAAAAGGTGCAAGCGAAGATGACAATGAGATCACAATGTTTTAGCGGAAAGTGGAAAAAAAAATCAAGATGGCTTGTACTTTTCACATTTTGAATTTATAAATGTAAAACTTTACCCAATATATATTACATAATTCTGTTATGCTAGTATATTCATCAGTTGTGGTCATATTCTAGAATCTCTTCTCTTACACACACAAGCATTGCACTCACACACTCACCTATATCTTAGTAAAGATGAATTTAAACAGAATTTAAAAAGAGAAAACGCATGTGTAACAGTATGATCAGTATGTTAGATCCGTGTATTTTATCTTAAAGTGACAGCAGCCTAATATTCCTCCTGCTGCCTCTGTTTTTATTGTTAATCAAACAACATACAGACTCACTGCAAAGAATCACTCAATGCTTTCCAAATTGAATTACTGAAACTTCATTTTTGGTTTTGCTTAAATGAAAATTGTGTTTTGGTAAAAAAAAAAAAATAATAATAATAATTATTTGTGATTTTTTTATTTATTTATTTATTTATTTTTGACTGTTGTAGTAATCAGTGCCCTCTTTCTGTTCTCTCCAATGCCCTTCACTTCCATAGACCCTCCTGGTTTGATGGGTCCGATTATAGGGATGTCTCCAGATAAGAAAGCCGAATCTCCTGGAGCGCAGGGCGTGTGTGGAGCTGGAACTCTCCCTGAAGCAGAGAGTGCTTCCAGTCCCATGGCTACCAGTCTGGACCAGATTGTTCGCACTGGAGCATTGAGTGTGGTAGCAGGCGAGTCTGAAGATGACGAGCTAACCAACCTGAACTGGCTTCATGAGAACTTGCTGCAGAACTTCACACTCGGTGGACCTGAGGCACAACCCATCAACAGCCCGTTGTTTGACATTGAGGGTGGCGGTGGATCGCCACACAGTAACACCGCCTCGTCTGCCTCCTCGGTCTCTGCGGGAAGTGAAAGAGATCCTTACAAGTCAAAGCCTCCCTTCTCTTTCTCCTTACTGATATACATGGCTATTGAGCAGTCGCCCAGCAAATCTCTCCCAGTAAAGGACATCTACGGTTGGATCCTCAAGCATTTTCCATATTTCTCTAGTGCCCCTACTGGCTGGAAGAACTCAGTGCGCCACAACCTGTCCCTCAATAAGTGCTTCCGTAAAGTAGAGAGAAGCATAGGAAAGGTAAGAACTCAAGAAATTTAGAGTAATTTAGCTTTTTGTTAAATGTTGGCTTTTGCAAATTTTAAAACATACAGGTGAGTGTGAAATTAAATATTTGAAATTAATAATGAAATTAATAATTTTAGTTTTAGTGTTTTTAATTTTGAATTTTAGACAAAATAGTATAATATTTAAATATTAGCAATTTATTGATTATCGGCCATGGCATTAAATAATTTTAATCTTGCCCATATATGCCAGAATTTTGATATTGGTGCATCCTATTCCCGATTACGAAAGGGGTTTATTTAGCAATAATGATTGTCTTACTGCACATTATTTCCAAAATTATTAAATAAATGGGCTTAAAATTAGGGCAGTCAAGCAAATATCAAATCTAATTAATTACATAATGCTGATTTATTTTATCGAATTAATCATACATTAAATTTGTCTGAGAAATTACTACTTCTACTACACTACTTTATGTTCGTCACCAATCAACCACATGAAAGATGACCTGTGTAGTTCTAGGGCAGGGTGGGTAGGTTAAATATCTTAAATTATTTTAATCGTATTCTTTTTCCATACCCAAGTAATTAAATTAACACGTTGAATCGACAGCCATACTTAAAATATTTATGAGGGTTGAAATTATTTTTAATATGCATGATCGCAATATGCTGTAAGACACATGAAATCTGCAGAGTGGCCTCATTGACCTCAGTATGCTGCAACTGACTATTCACAATCAAGTATTCCAGAGAGCCTTGTAATGAATTAGAATAACATCTTTTTCTCAAGACTGGTTCACACAACATTGCTGCAGAGAACTCGCTCAGACGTTTAACTAACTGGGTCAGTGTATAAAGTAGTGCAGGGCTGACTGCAGTGTGCTAACAGGCTTGTCAAGAGGGATATTGGTTTAGGGCGTTTGAAAACCTCTGTGTTCAAAGCAGGGCACACAGCCAGTTAAATGAAGTGAGGCAGATGTTTTCATTTCTTCTATGTGAACCATAGATGGCGAAATGATTTATGGAACGGTGAGGACAGCATGTTTCATTAACGTGTGACATTGTGTGTGAATCTGTGGGTTTCATATGTCTCAGTCTGGTGTCTGTTGCCATGGCAATGTTTCCTCTTTCCTGTTTATGAACACGGCTGGTGAAGTGAGTCAAGGTCATATTCCCCCTGCAGGACCACACCTCAGACACAGGGTGATAAGTCCTTTATTCAACACACAAACCCCCCCATGCAAACACAGTAGACGACACCATTCCACATCCTTCCCATATGGTCATTATAGTTTCATGATGATTTAAAATGATCATTTTGCATTCATGATGTGTTCATGAATGTATAGTGTAGGATCAGACAGATGGTCCTGTTGTCATTTAACCTGAGCCGTTTCCTCACACCACCATACTGAAATCATTCTTGCGTTTCTGACTCCTCCCCTCTCTGTTCCTTCTAGACCAATGGGAAAGGCTCTCTGTGGTGCGTTCACCCCGAGTTCCGGCCCATGCTGATGCAAGCCCTGAAGAAGCAGCACTTCCCAAATGCACATGCCTTCTGCACCCCTCCTGCCTCCCCTCCTAGGTATCAACACTGGCCAGTGATATTCTGACATTTATCAACAATGCTTGTATAGTACTTACTACGATTTCACTACTCTGCAAACTGTCACAGACAAGCACTTCCAGTGTAGACAGGGTTTTTTTTTGGGGTTTTTTATTTGAGTTAGTTTTTATCTGTCATGTTGCTCCGCTCATGTCCATCATGTTTGGTTTTGACCACAACTTTTTTTTTTTTTTTTTTTTTTTTTTTTACCAAATGTCTATTCAGCTGCAGTCACAGACTTACAGGTGTGTCTATATTGGTGGTTAGAAATGTTGTTCATTGAGTTGTATTTATAATATAGTGGTTCAAATCTTGATTCACTGGTATTTAATTCTAGCTTTTTTGCAGATTTGAAACTCCGTTTAACACCCATTTTAAAATACATTTGTAAATAACTTATATCTTAGGTAGGAAAAATAAAGCAAAACTAGCTTTTAAGTTAAGTGTATTTTGCCTGCATTTTAAAACAAATTTAATATAAACTTTCCATCATGTAGTTTTTCCTCCACAAAAGGTTTAAAAAAATAATTAAAAACTTTCCATCAAATAAACTTCCTCCACAAAATTTAAAAATAAAAAACAAAATAATACTGCTATAAACAAAATTTAATCAAATAAGGTGCTTTTTAACAGCAATATTCCCTTTACACAGCACCAGTTGAAATATTTATTGTAAATCTCAACTTAAACGTGAATGTATTTAAATCAAACATGAAACCAAAGCCATTTGCCACTGCCATTTGCAACGACAAAACACACAGATCACTTTGGTCTTGTCAATGGAACCATTTGGCAACTTTTTGAAAGTAAAATTTCCATTCAGAATCGTATTGGCATCCATTTTCGGGATCTCGCGCTTGTCATCCACTCAAAACGCAACGTTAACCTACTGGCCAGCTCGCAAGCCCAAACAAGTGTGTGCGGTGTGCCTATTGTTTTGTTTCTGGTCTAGCTAGATCTGCTTGTGCTTTGGTTGACGAAGCAAAACGTGAAATGAAAGGTTTTCTTAGCACAGCGCCGTTCATGCCATGTCCTGTTGCAAAAGCATGTGAAAAAAACTACAAAGTTCACTAGGCCAAAAACACTGTTAAATTGCGCGATAAATAAATTGACACCGTTAAAATAGGTTTGCGTTAACGCCGTTTAACTGACAGCCCTTATATATATATATATACACACACACACACACACACACATGGTTGTATTGTATTACCATTACTATAAAGGTGTAGAGAATATCCAACAGGTATGTTTAATCTTCTCACTCTTTCTCTTTACTCTGCAGTGCCTCGTCTCCTCCTCATCACCTATTCACTTCAGAGCAGGGCTGTGCCCTAAAAGGTTAGTAGACTTCATCACGTCTGTTCAGAAAATCCATGACCTGGTCACATTTTACACACCATTATCTGACATATCATCAGACATTGAAGCCTATCACCCATCTCAGCTCTTTTCGTTCCGCTCACCCTGTTCTTGAAGTCTACACCGTGCTCATAGATGCCATCTCTTTCCTGTATTTGGTAACCTTGACAACCAATGCACTGGTACTTTGAAATTAGAAAGAGACTGTTTCGCTCCTGGGTAGAAGTGACTCATTCATTTTAACACACACATACACATCACATAGTCAATATTTGTGTGCATCAAAGATTTCTTTCTCTTTACAGAATGTGATTTTGATGCTGCCACTGCCATGATGCTGTTAAAGTCTGCCTCTGAGCAGAACTCATGTAAGAGACCACCATCATTTTTTCATCCTCTGCTTCTTTTTATTCATGTTTTACATCTGGTTTATTTTAATCAAGACATGCATATATTTAACTGTTCATATAATCACAGCAATCATGAATGTGTGTGTAATGTATATTGGCTGTTATGTTATTGGTTTCAAATGAGGATCATCCAATCAAAAATTAGTGTTAGAACAATCCATTTATGTTACAAATTATTAAATAATCCTGAAACAAACTTTTTTTATTATTATATGAAAATGTTTCTTGAGCACCAAATCTGCACATTTGAATCTATGATTTCAGACTCAGAAGATTGGAGTAGCTTTGCCATCAAAATAATTCAATTTGATCTTACAGTAATCTTGATCTTACATTTATACTGTCTAATCATCAGTTGTCACTCTGCTTATGATTTCTCAGACCCAGACCAAGAAGGACCCATAGATCTCTCCCGAAGGGACTTGGTGGTTGTGAGTCGGGATCCAAAGCAGGATCACAACTACAGCAGCACCCCTGTCCCGCCTTGCCCTCGCCAGATGCCTCTTTCACAGCCAGTCAACTTCAGTCTGAGTTTGTACCATGATCAGGAGAGAGAAGGCCGGGCTCGATGGCCACGCAACCCGCTGCAGGGCCAGCTTTTAGGGAAGAGGAGCAGGAGAGATTCTCGGTCTGACGTGGACGAGGAGCTCAAGGAGGCGGCCGGCTCGCTTCTACACCTGGCCGGTATTCGCACCAGTTTAGTCGCCTCGAGACGCAAGAGCAGGAAACTCAGTAGAAAATGAACCCAATTCCCAACGCTCAACTCCATCTTGTGGCCTGCCCAACCTCTCTCTTCTGGTTTGGTGTATCTTCCTTCTTGTTTGTAGTTCTTGGGGTGTTTTCTTTCCTTTGGTCTTTTTAACTGGGATGACATCCCGGTCCACTTATCAAACATGGCAATACAAACACAGGAGAGAAAAGCCATACTGACACGTTTTATGTACAGAAAAGAATCCGATTTGAATGAACAGCCCACATCAGCTAGTTAATAACTAAGAGGGTTTGAAGATGTTAATCATTTAAAAAAAAAAGAGAGAGAGAGAGAGAGAGAGAGAGAGACACTGTCAAAAAGCTTCAAGATTTGCATGCTTCCACCTCTAAATCAACAAACTTATTTATACGGAAAACGAATGCATGGATTTTCAAGCTCCCGAGACTTCTCATGCCTCACCATAGCGGGGGAAAAGATTTTTGAAAGTGCCATTGATTTTGGATCATAATATAAACATGATACAAAGAAGAAATGCAATAATTAGTCGACCTAAATACCTGTAGTTATTTTATTTTTGTACTGCTGGTTTATATATCGTGTGGTGGTGACAGCATGCCCCTGGGAGCCTTTTGCTGCCGCAGTTATGATGTCAAAACCATGTGACTCCTCCCGTGCATCCTGATTGGATCAGTTTTGCATCCCCATCCTGACCCCTATGACTGGAGAACTGCTTGAAAGAAACCACTTTTTCTTGCATGCCCATCAGCCTCAGTGTTTCTCAGAAGCTAGCGATCTGTATAATCAGGTGTTGTGCTATTCCACGTGCACTCACTGACTTGATTAAATCATTGCCCATGCTCGTACTGCGTGCTTTTGGAGCGTACTAAACAGCGGCCAATCAAAACAAGAACCTCTTTACCTCTAATATAACACTCTCCTTGACTTTTTGCTGGCAGGAGCGACAGCTCTACCTGAATCGGGCCTTTATCATCTTTTTTTTGGTTCAAAATGTGTGACAAAGCCTCCAGTAGGGGGTGCTGTGTGGACCGCCTCTTTCCACTGCTGCTTTTGAGACCTCCAGAGAGTTCCCAGGGCATGAGAGGAAACCAGACACAATGTGAACTGCACAATAAACACATCTGCAAGCTGAGACGGACATTCTCCCATCATTGCGGCTCACGGATGGTGCTGATCATGGGAGAAAGGATCACTGGAACTGAAGCTGGGGAGAGTGGACATTATATTTAAAGAGTTAAAGGTGATAGGATATCCAACCGGATGTGAAATGAGAACTGTGATACTCTGGACTCCCGGCCGTACTACTTTTTTTCCCCCCTTTGAGATCGCCAAAGTTGCTGCTCACAAAACTCGCCTGGCTGTGTGTACCCTGTGGTCCTGGACCTTTAGGTTGTTTGTTTATGATTGGGTTTTTAAGTGTTTGTTTGAGGCTACATTAGGATTTTTATATACCCAAGCATGTGAAATTGTGAACTATAACTGCCACTTGCCCCCTTAGACTGGGAAACCAGAACATCTTGTTTGAGTTGATTATTATAAAACTGCCTATCCTTGTGAAGCTCTTTCCCTGTCACTTTAACCATGGCTGCCAATTCATCCCCTCCCAGCTGTATATAGTGCTACTAAAGAATGGAAGTATTAATGCAGGGAGGGGGACCGAGCAGTAGTTTTAGAATTTGAGGCCAATTCTGAAAACAGCTGCCTATTAATTATTATTGTTATTGTTATTAATATCAATTATTATTATATTAAGATATGGGTTGCCACTAACTGAGTTGCCACTTCCCATCGATTTTGTCATGTTCGTCTGCCATGTTTGTGGCAGTCTGAACTTGATTTTTGATTTTGTAAGCTAATCTCTGTTAATAAAAGGTTTATAAAGTTTATTTTTGCCAAAGATATGCAATTGTTGCATTATATATGGTATTAAAGAATAAAAGAGTTTTTTTCTTTTACTGATTTTTTGTTTGTTGTTTGTGATCTTTGACAATGAAGACAAGTATGGGAGCTTTGTGGGGTTCAGTTCATATTTGAAATTTTCTGATCCAAAAGCTTAAACTTGACATAAACTGTAAATTTGTCCTGTTCAGATGCTCATCCAGTAAGATGTTGTACTTTGGTGAAATCAAGTTCTGCTTCTTGCCACTCCCATTTATTAACTGACACCTGTTTATCTCTCTTGCACAAAAACAGATTCAGCATTCTACAAAAAATGAATTAAATTGCAAACTGCGACTATTATGAAAACCAGGAATAAATGCATATAAATAATACAAATATACTTTATTTAGTAGGCTATTTAATCTCACTTTTATTAACCCATGTTTTTGCTGCTAACCTTAGATGATCCAATTGGCTTTATGCACAGCTGCACTACTTCCTGAACCTTGTTTCCTGTCTGCCATTATTGGACAAATTGATTAATCCAGGTGCGTCTGACCTCAGTAGTCACAGCAACAATAATTAAACACACCTGAATTAATCAAGTTTGGCTTATGTTCAGGAAGTAGTGCAGCTGTGCATAAAGCCAATTCAACCAGGTAAGCAAAAATAACTTTATATCCACATTTGTGTCATTTTTATAATTTTTATTTCAAGAGTGTTGTACAGGCTTCCACTTTTTGTTGTAAAAGGGCCTTTATTGTAAATAATTATAATCTAAAAGTAATTCCAACGACATCTTTCTTCTGTGTCATTAGCTATCGTTATATCTGGTGTGGTCTTCCCTGTATCATAAATGATTATTAATGAATTCCAAACATCGGCCTTATATGGCTATGTTCATTACGGAAAACTATCAATACTGCGGATACAGTGATCTGATTTATATATATATATAGACCATTTCACAAGATGTAAACAACACTGGTCCAGAAACACTTCCTGTTTCAGTTTGTAACTGTTTTCTTTATTTCACATGTAAAGAAAACATCTTAAAGATGTTTGTTTAACTTTTTGATTCAGTTTTAAATGTTCTGTTGGTTGTATTTTATCCCAGCTTTTATGTAGTGTTAAAAAAACTGAAACAGGAAGTGCTTCTGGACCAGTGTTGTTTACATCTTGTGAAATGGTCTATATATATATATGACGAGTACAGATGCAAAAGCCTCTTAAGTGCCATTTGAAATTTTCTTCTAGAATGATAATTTTGATGATCAAACTTGTATATTTAAGTTCAGTGATTTCACTTAAATGGCAATGATAATTACCTATTAATTGTTATTTAAGTGAAATTACTGAACTTAAATATACAAGTTTGACAAAAATCATCATTAAAGAAGAAAATTTCAAATGGCATTTAGAGGCTTTTGCATCTGAACTCTTCATATATATATATATATATATATATATATATATATATATATATATATATATATATATATAGTTAGTAGGGATAATTCCCAAACAATGCAACATTGTTGTCAAATAACCTAATGAAATTGCACGTTTTATTCAGCGAGTATCCAGTTTTAAAGAAATTGCTTTATTCATCCCGATTGTGTGTAAAAATGCCTTCATATTGGCAGTCCAAAAAACATCGAGTGAAGAAAAAGGTGTTAATCACGGTGGATATAATTTCAGAAACATAAATCACACTAGAACTGAAAGGTCGTGTATTGTGGGATGCGTTATTCTACGCAGTAAACTGTTCATTTTGGTATAATTAGGCCCTGCTCACCTATCACGTCTTTTGCGCGCTCATGTTCATAATGGAAGCGACGCGCTCGTTTTTTCCAAGCGCGTCCACGCCGCATCGAGAAACAAACATCTTAACTTTTACGAATGCCGCAAGCGTAACGTAGGTCACGTGACAAGAACCAACTGGAGCGCAACCGCCCTAGCGCTTTGGAAAAAGGAGAACACGGTGCGTTTTCTACGCGTTTTAGGCGCTATATGTGAATTGAGCAACTGAGAGAGTATGCAAGTATACAACTTTTGTTGGTGTTTTTGTGACCTGCTTCTTGCTTTTGGTGGATTACAGCGCCATCCAGTGATCAGTTGAAGTCACAGACCCTTGAATGGGACTCTGGTTGGGGGACTGTAGATGCAGGTTCCGAGTCTGCAGCTTCATAATATTGGGGAAACCTGGCCTATTTTTAGTGTTCTTAATGTGCACAGAATTAGCCATTATCGTGATTTATTATAAAAGCATGTGTCTTATGTAGAAATTGGTCATCATTAAAATGTGGAATCGAATAGAGTTGCACATTCAGCACAGGCATTACCTTTTTAAAACTAGATTTTAAGAAATTAATTTAAATCTATAATGGTTGCAGTATCTGCTCTCTGCCTTTTCCATGATTGGCTTTCTCGCTGTCCACTGTTCCCTTGACTTGCGGCATTGAACCCCTGGCCTTGATACATGAGCCATATCTTCATAACAGATTCCTCTTCTTTGTGGACTTCCTCGCTCAGCCCATTTGAGGTTTGAGTTCAGGGTGCCGTGTAGCGCAGCTGCTGTAACTGCCACACACTCCCACCGCTCACAAACATTACTGCCTAAAAAAAACCCCAGCAGATCAACAGCTCTCTGTCTCAGAGCTTAAACATTATTGCAGGTGCAAAGATAAGGACAGGCAGGACTTGGACAGAGTGAAACTCGCTCCTAACTGTGCCTCAGTTTGTGTAGCCTGCTGCACTTTACTTTAGTGTGGCTTTCCAGTGAAGGATTTTTAAATGTTGGCCTACCGTAAAAGTCCGTTTGACTTAAAAATCTCCCATACTTTTTAGACCTCCTCTCTCATACTGTGGGTGGCCAGTGAGGTTATTGTGACCTTGAACAAACCATTCCAGTGCTAAAGTTCTGGAATATTTGCGATAAGAGAGGATGATGGCAAGGGCTATAAATGTCTTAGTTTCAACACTCGCGAGAAATGAAATAATACAATAGACAAAAAAAAAAAAAAAAAATTGAATGATCCTGTAGGGTTTTTTTGTGTTGTGTAATTACATTTATATGATGGCTATTCTTAATTCAAAAATGAACAAATATACAAAACACACTCCTCATCTAAAAAACTCACTCCTCAGTTCTCAAAAGCTCAGCACAAATCCTTAATTTAATGGGATTGTTCACCCAGAAAGTGAAAATTTAATGTTATTCCAATCTTGTATGTCTTACTTTCTTCTATGGATCACGGAAGTGATTCTGTTTCAGTTACTTTTGTTATCTTTCATTGTATGGAAAGGCCATTTTACAAAATATGTGACCCTGGATCACAAAACCATATGTGGCAATAGCAAACAATAGATTATATGGGTTAAAATGATCATTTTTTCTTTTATGCCAAAAATCATTAGGATGTTAAATAAAGATCATGTTCCATGAAGACATTTTGTCATGATTCAATGTATTTTTGTGAGTGAATGCAGCACAATTGAGGACTTCATGCGTTGCATTTGGACAAGTTTAAAGGCGATTTTCTCCATGTTTCGATTTTTCTTTTTTGCACCCTCAGATTCAAGATTTTCAAATAGTTGTATCTCAGCCACATATTTTCCTATCCTAACCATATGGAAAGCTTATTTATTCAGCTTTCAGATGATGTATAAACTTTCAATTTTATAAAGCTGACCCCTATGCCTGGTTTTGTGGTCCAGGATCACATATCTCAAAGAAGAAAGAGTCATGAAGGTGAAATGATGTGATGCCAGAATTTTGGGTGAACCATCCCTATAAATTTGACAACTTTTCTACAAGAACACTGAGAAGTATTAATTAAATTGACAATATGTCATGCTACATTCTTGTTGAAAGATTAAGAGATCTACATTATTCATACTAAAGACATCACCTAATCTCATTCTTTTAACACTAGTGCATGCAGGATATGTCAAGAGTAAATCAAGCAGCATCTTGTGAATGGTTTAAGTAGGCTACTTCTAAGACATCTGAATCAGTTGACCTGAGAGGTCAAGCATTATGAGACACTTTCACCCCATAGAAACCTTTAAGAATTCTATATCCAGATTCCACATTTTCCTTATTTATCCTAATTTTTGCCTCAAAGCAGCATGTGGTTTCAGCTGGTCAGCTGTCTAACGGTGGATTGAGTTAGTGGTTTGTATTTGGGCGATGTGCATCAGGGAGTAGAGTGTTCCATCACTAGTCTTTGGCGAAGGCACCATGGCTCCATTTTGCCCCGAAGAGATCTCCGTGCGGTAAATGTGCGCACGTGTTTTAAAGCAGCCGAACCGGCTGGTCAGAATGAAGAAATCCCTCTTGAAGGTTTTAGTGAAGAAGGCGTAGAGAAATGGGTTTGAGCAGGAATTTATGGGGTAAAAAAGCACCAGCAAGACTTTAGCCTGAGAAACTGTGATCAGTGGTAGTTTTAAGGCAGCAGAGATGGCGAAAAACGAGATGGGCGCCATACACAGGAAGTCTGTGAAGATGAGCACGGCCATGCGCTTGGCTATGCGCATGTCTGCGTTGGCAGGAACGAAGGCAGGGTTGCGGACGGTCAGGTAGATGCGCATATAACAGATGCACACAACCAGAAAAGCGGCTACGTTGAGGATGAGCAACAGCACAACGTATCCTTGTGAAAGCACCGTTTCCACATCCATTGGCAGGCAGATGCTGGTCTTCGTGTAGCTGCTCACTCCCAACATGGGCATAAGAGCTGTCAGCAGGGCGAAAAGCCACCCCGCTGCCATCACTGCGCAGGCATGGCGCAGGCGCAGCTGGCGCTCCAGCTCCATGGCATAAGTGATGGTGTGCCAGCGCTCCAGGGTAATGGCAGTCAGGGTGTAGACGGACAGCTCGCTGGAAAAGACCGTGAAGAAGCCGGCCACGTGGCACCCTGCTCCCATCTGCCAGTCGATGCCATAGTTGTAGTATTGGGACTGCGTGTAAATATCCACGCTAGCGATGAGCAACAGGTAAATTCCCATGCAAAGGTCCGCGAAAGCCAAGTGGCACATTAGAAACCTGGGAACGGTTAGTTTGTAGCGACTGGTGAGGAGCACCAGGAGAACAACCAAATTTCCCACGATGGCCAGTATGCAGATGAACCAGATGAGAACACGTAGGAACGTAAAACCCATGATGTCTTCGCAAGGGTTGAATGCATCTGGTGTAGGGTAGCAGGTCACTTCTATCACGTCCTTACAGTGGTCTTTAAAAAAATCTGGCTCCAGGCTGAGGGCACCGGGGTCGTTACAAATTTGATTCTTTACAGATCTGTGTGAAACACAAAAAATATCCGAGTGGACAGTTAGGTTTTCACTGTTAAAAGAAGACAATGAAAAGTTCTGTCACCGTTTACTTACCCTCATGTTGTTTCAAACCTGTATGACTTTTTTTCTACCACGGAACAGAAAATGATACCTTTAGCAGAATGCTCATGCTGCTCTTTTCCATATAATGAAAGTGTATGGTGACCAGCTCTTAAAATGACAAAACGCATCATAAAAGTAGTCCATAAGACATATTGGTATATGTGCAATTTTCTATATGAGCGCTTTGTGTAAAGAAAAGCATTTGTGTATATTTGCCCAAACATTGCGTATTCTTGTTTTTCTTGTAACCTGTTGTGACATGCCAAATTTAAAAAAATTGATTTTAAAGGTGCAATGTGTGATATTTCTAAATGCAATATAAGATCCATAACTATGTGTTCAGTGGTGTATAAAGACCTTACTCAATGAACCGTTATGTTTTTATTACCTTAGAATTAGACATTTATATCTACATAACCGCGGGTACCCCCTTCTATGAAGGTCGACATATTGTGACATCATGTTTGTACCATAGCCGACAGCGATCAAACAACGCTACAGAGTGCATTTCTAAGCCAATGAAACCTAGAAGCTAGCCAAAAATAATGTGAGTAGTGACTTTTTTTTCCCTTGTCAGTGGTGTAAAATATGTAGTTGGATTGTTTCATGTAACTTGGTTCTTCTCCCTTGCTGTGTTATGGCTTTGACAATAAGCTGATAAGTACTATTGACCGTAAAACAGTAACGTTACAGGGTCACCAACCCGTCCATCTTAAGACTCCCTCTTGAAAGCATATAAAGTTGATCGCGAAGAGTTTACAAAACCAGAGAAAAAAAAACTATATCTGTATTCATTATTATTTATTAATTTGTGTGTAAATAGTGTCTAGGGGATGCGGAGGCATGTGCGCTGTTACTCCGCGCGCACCTTTGCACTCATGCGGACTTGTTGATTATAAGCAATCCTTTATGCTTTAACCAGCTCAGCCACAGCCTTACAGCATAACATCTCGTATTAGCCAGCTAAATTTCTTCATCTTTTCCCTCGCTGTATTATGAGTTTGCTATGTGGGGAGAGATGTGCTGGTTAGGTTTGTGAGACAATCAGCTGATTACTATTATTAAGAACCTTGATCCTTACCTGACTATGGCTTTGTAAACGTTATCCATGATGTGGTTTATAATGGACTGTGTTACAGAAACAGTGACAATGTCACACACTTTTGCTGTCTCAGACAACATGTTTTAGCAACCGTAGCTTCTTCGAAAGGGAGGGGTGAGCAGTGGGCTGAGCCAACTCGCAAGCGAACCGCTAAATGCAGCTAAAATCTACACACTGCACCTAGAGCAAAAGGCCAACAGACTACAGTAAGACCAGTTCACATCGACATTAAATGTTCAACCTTATCTCATAATTACTAAAATAAACTATTTTGGGAAATGCTTGTCATAAAGATAGGATTTCAAACAGCTGTTCAGGTTTTTGTATTAGCCATAGTGTTTATCCATCAACATCAAATACAAGAGTACAGAAACTATAGACTAATCCAGATGGCAGCAAAATACCCAATCTTAGTTTTATGTAACAGCAGTGAATCTGGGTGACCAAAAGTACACATTTTATTCGTTAGCCAGCTTTTCTTCACTATGCGATGGAAAAGCAATTCTGACGCATTGACGATACACGACTATCTGTGTCAGTCATAACGAACTCACAGCCGCTCATCCAAAATAAAGTGTTTTTTTTTTCGCAGCGAATATTCGTCAGGTCGTCCATAAAACAAACCTTTATTGAGCTTTTTTTTTGTAATTTTTGGCAGCTTTTCGCTTTTTGGGACCATCTATTTACAGTGTATGGAAAATAGCAGCGTACACATCCTGTCTAATAACTCCTTTTGTAAAGGAGTATATTTGTGTAATATTATTTTGTAAAGGAAAGAAACCATATCGGTCTGGAACAATATGAGAATGAGTAACTCCTAACAGAATAAACAGTTGTGATGTAATTATGTAGCTTACTTGTGCTTCTTGAAGTTTTTGAAGGCACAGCAGTGGCTGGGGTATGTCAGATTGGCTTGCGTGAGCTCAGTAAACAGCTCTAGGCTTGGAAGCCTCCTTAGAGAGTAGACTGAGATGGCTGTCAGAAGCTTAAGGGTCCACAGCATGCTTTCTGGTAGCGTCTGGACAGCAGTACGTGAGATGTCCCTGTAATGACAGCAGCCATATCAGTGTCCAATGCAGGATTTGATGTGTGTAGATTGTTGTTGAACTATATGCACACACTAATAGTGTACAAACCAGGTAACAGGTTTGTGTGAGTGTAACAGGAATTGCTGTGAGAGCTTATCCTGAGGACATAGAGAGGGTGTGTGGTGCTCCAGCTGGTGAGTTGTATTGTTGTTGAAAATTCAGAGCTGTTCATGCTTACAGAACGATGGGGCCTTCAGCTCCTATAAAGGCGTAACTGTGGATGTGATTCAGCTGCTGGTTTCCCATGAGAAAGCTGTGAGGAAGAGAGAAAAGGGGATTAGACGGAAGATTAGAGGTTTTATGTGAGATGCTAATTTATAAATATATATATATAAATAAAAAAATGTAACTGAACTTACAGTTTCTCAATTTTGGTACCATTGAATGCATAGCTGTCTATATCACGAATCCCATTCTTCGTTAATCTCCTACAAAGAGTACGTCAAGATAGACCAGTTTCCAAAGGTTTAGGGCAATACAGTAATACAGTATTAACAGTAAAACAGTGGGAAATATTAACAACTTTTTCTTCATTAATATGGCCTATTTTAATAAGTAATTTCTTTCTGTGATGCAAAGCTTAATTTTCAGCATCATTAATCCAGTCTTCAGTCCCACGATTCTTCAGAAATCATTGTGATATGCTGATTTGGTGCTCAAGAAACTTTTCTGATTATTATCAATGTTGAAAACAGTTCTGCTGCTTTAATATTGTATTGTCCTTAAGAACGAATCCTGTGCTTTTAGGATTCGTTGATTAATATAAAGTTCAAAAGAACATCATTTATATTAAATATATTTAGCCTATCTTTGTAACATTATACATTTTTACTGCCATTTTATCAATTTAACATCATTGCTTAACACAATTATTATTACTACTGTATAACTACTGTCAGCCCGTTCTCATCCCAAGGCGTCATCGAACTGATGCTTTAGGTACCCTTTAGCATCAGTTAGATGACTTTCCTAGTGGTCTAACCCTACCCCAGACCTAAACCTTCCCGCGTCAACTAACTGACGCTAAAGGGTGCCCAAAGCGTCGGATGTTGAAGCATGGTCAAAAGTGTCAGTTAGATAGACGCCTTGGGATGAGAATGCGTTGCTACTGTTTAACTTTTAAACAGTAGTGTATATATTATAAACAACAAATCTGTTACATTTTCATGTATGGTAAACATTTTGTAGTCAATTTAATGTAATTTTATGTAATATTATATCACCACCATATGGGGTGGTGATGGTGCAGTGGATAAGACACATGCCTTTGGTGTGAGAGACCCGGGTTCGAATGCACCGTGAGACACCAATGTGTCCCTGAGCAAGACACTTAACCCCTAGTTGCTCCAGAGGCATGTGACCTCTGACATACATAGCAATTGTAAGTCGCTTTGAATAAATGTAAATATTATTTTAAAACGTTTGAACAGGTTTAACAGCTTGTGTTTGTCATTTACTCCAAGACAAACTATTCAATTTAAATGCAAGTATAGTGTGCATTATTATTCAATAAATCAACAACCCGTCACATCATTCATTCCTCACATAAAGAATAACTCTTTGGGAATAATCAATCACACAGCTGGACTTACAGCTCAGTTATGGTGGCACTGGTCAATCCAAGGAAAGCGTTACTGGGAATTCTCTCTATGTGCATGTTATCTTGTAGATCACTGGAACATAGATTTGATATAGCAGATTTGAACAGTATATACAATTTATTCTAATTAATATATATTAAGACAGTGAGACATGATGAAAGACTTACAATAGAAATTCAAGAGCAGCTGAGTTGATTTTTGAAAAATCAGGCAAGATTTTAAGACCAGTGTTTGATATTGTCCTGGAGGAATATGCACATGTGCAGAGAGAGAGAGAGAGAGAGAGAGAGGGAGAGGGAGACAAGTATAATGAATGTAATACGTCAGAGTGGCATTTGTATTTTGTCTTTCCATCTGTAGCCTTTGTTTCCTGTGAGAAACATTTGATATGGATATTGACCTGTGATTCTGCTTTTATTGATGTCTTTCAGGACACTTAACACAACTCAAAACTCATACTCCCAATAAAATGCTGAACTACAGTTTGAAACCACAATGATTCAGAGTTTACTAGACACAAGAGTAATGAAGACAGAAAATAACTCACAGATATCGTAGCTTTGGAAGTCTCCAGAAGGCGTCTCTGTGCATCACAAGGTTTTTGGATTTTGTAATAGTTCTGTCAGATAGGTGGATAGATGGGTTATTATGTGTTTCATAATATTTACTGCAATATTTGATTACAATGTGTCAACAAGAATGTGACACGACGTTATTTCAACACGCAGTGCAGCAATATACATTTCCTGTAGTTCTGTCAGGTTGGAGAAGGCAAAGGCTTCAATTCGCTCAAGAGCACCATTCTCGGACACCACTCTGAAGAGGAGAATCATAAAGCGACGTTAGTATGAATGTATAAAGCTTATTGCAATACATCAAATTGATACAAAATCTTAATTGCCAAGCGCAATGTTCACTATTCACATCTATTGAAGTCCATTGGGGGAATTCGAATCACTTCACAAATACTGCTTTGAGAAATAAAATAGAAAGAATTGACAATAAGAATCCCATTTGTCAATTTCTCTCACTTAGGTTTTGCTGTATTTTCCTGTGATACATATCTCCTGTGTTTGGGTCCCTGTTAAACATCATGTTCCATATTAAAGTCTAAACATATTCAATCAAGACTAAATATCATGTGTTTATATGCGCTTTTGCTAAACTAAGCCAAAAGCCAGAAAGAGTTATGAGCATTCAGTAGCAATTTCTCTGGTTTGAATGCTTTCTAATCTCCATGTGCATTCTTGCTGAATATGCACTTCCATGTTTTAGTAGTAAACATCTCTGTATCCTTCACTTTTACACTCACATTCTCTTCAGCTCATGTAGTTCAGACAGGGCTGCTCGGTGAATCACGCTGATCTGAGTCAGTTTGATCTCCCTGCGTAAAATTAAATAGAAGAGATGTGATTCACCATCCAATAATTCATTAATAATAGTTATAAATATCAGAGTCTATTCAGATGTGAATGTTTTGTGAGCAATCAGATATAAAAGTTGGGATATGGCCGTTTTGTTTAGTTTTGCATCCACCAGTCCAGATTGCCACTGATTTATTTTCAATCTAATTTAATTTATGTTGCAGCCATTTTGGTCTTGAAATTTGGTAAGACGTCTAGGCAGCTGTTTTCTATAGGAAATGGGCATATATTCTATCATAGCTGGTATTTACTTGAATAGAGAGTGGGCTATGAAATCTTGCAGTCTGGCTGAAATCACAACTTTTTTTTACATTATTGTTCGGTAATTTTTATTAACCATGGTCATTTACGTGAATTCAGAATGTGTGTGTGCTCTTTAAAACTCTTTCCAAGTGTATTTGTGATCTCGTTCTCTCTATATATGAAGGGTTCAGATGCAAAAGCCTCTAAGTGCCATTTGAAATTTTCTTCTTTAATGATGATTTTTATCAAACTTGTATATTTAAGTTCAGTAATTTCACTTAAATGGCAATGATAATTACCTATTAATTGTTATTTAAGTGAAATTACTGAACTTAAATATACAAGTTTGATAAAAATCATCATTAAAGAAGAAAATTTCAAATGGCATTTAGAGGCTTTTGCATCTGAACTCTTCATATATATATATATAGTTTTATACATTCTTGTTATTATATGTGTGTGTGTGAGAGCTGTATCCTCATGAAAGTAAGTATGAACAGAATGAGTCAGAAACTAGGTCATTTAAGATGTGAAATGTTATGAGAAATAGGAACATTTACCAGTAGCCTATTTACAGACAACTGCAAATGATCTATTTACTGTCAAATTTTTTGTGTAATTGTTTTTGCACACTGCCATTAGTGTCTGTGTTGTTCCTGTGGATATTCATTCCTGTAATCCCTCAGAAATGCAAACAGCACAATTACACAAAGCACACTTAGTGCCTTTTAAAGCAAATGGTGTTGGTACAAGAGATATGGAGATCAGAAAAATCACTATATCTTTGTTATATCATTTGACTGTTTTGATTCTTGTTATTTTTACTTATTATGTCCTTGACTGAACTTTGGGAGGGTTTATTTGTATGGCTGACTAGCAGTGGAAGCGATCATTTTTGATCATTTTGTGATATCGTTTGGTGCTGTTAGTGGTGCAGAAAATACACACTGCAGCTTTAAGATCTCATCATACATGACAGAATCAGGGTTATTATTATTAACTAAAACTAAAACCATAAATAAATAAAAATAAGGATACAAATTTAACATTTAAGTGAAATAAAATCCAATAATAATAATAATAATAATAAGCCAAATGTAAAAATATAAAATTATGTTATATATAAAATTGAATTCAAGATTCAATGGGACGAATCTGATGTTTCAGAGACATTTGCCTTGATCTTTGCCATTATAAAGAGAGAAAACATCTGGAAAGCACAGAAGGGTTCATTCCTGTGGTGCCAAATGGCACGCTGAGAAACACAAGCTGACAAACTTGTGGTGCTCTTTCCATAATGGAAATGTAATGAACCCAAAGCATAGACAGACATTTGTGTGAAATGTGTGATCAAGCAGAGCATCTTGAGATGCATTCAGCTGGGCAGCCTTATCCAAACTGACTGAGAAGTCGGAACAGAAATAATAACCTGCTTGAGGAGCCAAATATAGTTTCATCTTCATGTTTACCTCTCTGTCTCTTTGACTGGCTGAAATGAGTTGACTTAAATAACAAATGACTTCATGCAATACATTTGAGATAAAAAAAAATAAAAAAACACACACTCCCCCGTATATCAGTCTTGAGAATTCATTTGAGGGTCAATAGCCTTGAGAAAGAAAAAAAAATATTCTGGGTCTCACAACAGAAACATGTATTTTCTCCAAAACCACAATAACAAGCTCTGGAACAATAATAAAGTCATTGCGATTCTCAGATTTTTTTTTTTTATTTCTTCATTTAAAATGATTATTTATTTCATCATTTTATTTAAAATAAAAGTTTGAAAAGTATCATTAAGTAATAGTAAATTAAGCATAGCAAATTAAAAATGAATTCAATGTGTAATGAAATTAGATTATAATGATTGTATTTAACATTACAATTTTTATTTAGGCATTTACGATATTATAGTTTTCAGTCATTTTTAAATCATCTCTTATTTTTATAGTTTTAATTAATTGAAAATTTAGTACATTTGATTTGAGCTTTTGTCATTTCGGTAACACTTTATAATAACTGCACGCTATTAATCATTAGTTAAGCATGAGTAAACAGTTAAGACATCATTTATAAAACATTAATAGACATTAATATGCAGTTTATAAATATAGCTATACATGCTTTTTTCTAGATTTATAAGCATATCTATAATGCGTTTAATGATTGTATTTTCATACTTTGTTAATGATCAATTAATAATTTAAATGAAGTATAACATTATTTGCAAACCAGTTGTTTAAGAGTTGTCATTCATTCATACAGTAAGACCACTTAGAAAGTGTAAGTAAATGTAGTAAATACAGGTAGTTATAAAGCATTTAGTAGTGGTCAGTTAACTATTTTTGTGAGCTAATCTAAAGTGAGGACTATTCATGCTTTGTAAAGCATTTATAAAGGCGATTTAAAGACTCGTCAATCTTCTAAACAGTAAAATGTAACAAACACAACACAGTGATACAGAACATAGAAATATTTAACAGCCTTTAAAAATGCTTTACAAGGCATGACTAGTCCTCACTTTAGATTAGGTCACAAAAATAGTTAACTGACCACTACTAAATGCTTTATAACTACCCAAATTAATCGTTAATTACAGCACTATATACATGTTGATAAAGCATTTATTAACACATTAAGTAACCATCACTATATGTCTGAATAATAAGATGTATGAATGTACATTTAAATAGTTTATTAATCATTTACTTACTCGCTCTAAGTAATCGTATGAACCACGGACAACTCTTAAATAACTGGTTTATAAAAAATGCAATTCTTCATTTAGAAATGATAAATTGATCATTAATAAAGGATGAAAATACAATTATTAAACAAATTATAGATATGCTTTTAAATCAAGAAGAAAGCATGTATAGCTGTATTTATGAACTGCTTATTAATGTCTATTAATGCTTTATGAATGATGAAGGAATGGTTTACTCATGCTTAACTAATGATTATTAGCGTGTAGTTATTATAAAGTGTTACCGTGATTTCTTATCAGTTTTTTTTTTTTTTTTTTTTTATAATTTTAGAACTTATACTTTGTTTATTTCAGTTACAGTGCTCATTTCGGTTGCAGTTTTCCATATTTATTCAATTTTATTTGAAACTTTAAAAAAAAAAATCTTGTTTTAGCTAACAATAACAAATGAATATAAAATTGAAATGCTTTTCAATGTGGAACTTCATGTCCTTAGCTATTTAATACCTGAAATTCTAGATCTGGTTGTATGTAATACATGCATTTTAACGTGCATTTGTGTGCGTGTTTGTTTATACTCACACAAATGTGGTATTTTTCGGTATATTTCTTGGCATCTCATGGACCTTGTTGCCCAGACAGAAGAAAACGCCAGTCGTGCCATTAAATGTGCAGAAATGAGATCCAGCAAACATGCCTTCTGTGTGTGGCATGGACCAGCCGAGACTAAAGCAGAGCATCATCCACCAGACCATTTTCTTTATCATCTTCTCCTTGAGGTGGAAGAGTTTTTACAGTGTTTGTGAACTGAGGCCTCTATAGTGTAGCGTCCTTAAGCAGTTGCAGGTCTCCTCTGATGTTCAGGTGTGTGCTGGGCTGGGCCGCTCAGATTGGTCTTGGTAAGGAGTCTATGTGTGTGCTGTTTTCTGGTTGTAATGGTCTGTTCTGGTGAAGCTAAAGCCGCAGGGAGGCTGATCTCTTTCTTAGAGGCGTGTTGGTCAGAAGCTCTACAGCCAGAGCCAAGGGAGACCTTGGGAGAGAGGTCCTCTGATAACAAACAAATGTTTCGTTCATTCCTCCCCTCCGAATCTCATTTCTTCAGAACGTGAATGCGGTCCTCCCATCTATACTGAGCTCCAAAAGTCCTAGAAAAGCTACATACAAAAACTTCCATGGGTTTCAATATTCATCGTGAAGTTACCATTGTTAATTTTTTGGCAATCCAAGTGCAAACTACTTGCGATCTATTTTCCTTCTCTATTCTATTTGCTTGTGCACAATTTCCCTTTGTGGAATCAGGTTGACATGTAAGGGAAGCACATTAAATGAATTCTATTGCCGACACTAGTTGGTTTGTGAGTGCAGGTCTCCCTCAGGGAATGACCGGAGCTGTTTAGTCTTAGAAACTTTGTTTGAGTCTGACATGTGTAAGTTTGATAGTAGTGAACTGTGTGTTCAGACACACCAAACACACACACATTTTGGGTCTTCATGGTTTATGGGGACATTCCATAGACGTTATGATTTTTATACTGTAAGAACTGTATATTCTAAGCCCTTACACTACCCTACCCCTATACCAATCACAGAAAAGTTTATACATTTTCAAAGAACATAGTATGATGTGTGAGCTTTTCTTCCTCATGGAGAACAAAAATGTTCCCACAATGCCAAGGATTTTGGATCTTGCCTTTTTTGTACAGGTCATGGCATAGGGTTTAGCAGGACCACACACACTCATAATCTCTTTATATTACAGTAGTGAACATGAAAAATGCATCAAATAATGTTGTAACCTTGTTTAAATGTACAGTACAACTTGGATTGCCATACATTCACTGTAGTGGCATTGTTTTAGGCATTATGGGAGGGATATTGGTGTGACTGTTGCCTGGTATTGGATTTAAAATGGGCCACAGGACTTTCAGAGTGGGTTTCCAGGGTGGGCCATGTCCCCCTCCCATACCCCCTGTGGAGCCAGGAGCCAATTTTAATGCCTGTATATTTTTTTATAACCACATATTTAATTAAATTAAATTATATAATATTATTGTATTAACCAAATCAAAATTGTGTTTTAAGGGTTGTAAGTGGAATTTAAAGTGACAGATTATTCACTTTATATACACTCACGGCCATGCACTTTTACTCGTACCAGGTTGAACCCCCTTTTGCCTTAATTCGTCATGGCATAGATTCATGGTCCGTATTGCTTGGTTGCTGCAGATTTGCTAGAAAGTGTGCCAGGAAAATACCCCCCACACCACCACCATTCTGAACTCACCAGACCAAGCAAGGTTTTCCAATCTTTTACTGTCTAATTTAGGTGAGCCTGTACGAAATGTACCCTCAGTTTCCTGTTCTTAGATGACAGGAGTGACACTGGTGTGATCTGCAGCTGTAGTCCTTCTGCTTCAAGCTTCGGCATGTTGTGCGTTCAGATGTTCTTCTGCAGACCTCCGTTGTAATGATTTGAACTTTGCCTTTCTATCAGCTAGAACCAGCCTAGCCGTAATCCCTCTGACCTCTGCCACCAACAAGACATTTTCACTCACTGGATATTTCACTCACTGGATATAAACCTGAGATGGTTTTTCATGAAAATCCCAGTAGATCAACAGGTTCTGAAATACTTATACCATGCCTATCTGGAACTGACAACAATGTTACATTCAAGTCACTTAAATCACATCTGTTCCTCATTATGCTATGCATTTTCCCCATAGACGTTTGGAAAACTGCGAAAAATAAGATCTCTGTTCAACAAAGAGTTGTGACCCTAAAGGCCTGTTCACACTAAGCACGATAACTATAAAGATAAAGATAACGATAAAGATAAGTATATGCGTCCACACCAATGACTGAAAATGGTCTTTTTATTCTAAGCACGCACGGGTGCGAAGTAGCGAAAATGGAGGACTGCTGCTGCTGCTTTACGTTGCAAACAAATAGCAAAAGAAAAACAGGTGCTTTTGGGTACACAATATCCTTAAAAGACAAGAGGAGTTGGGATCACATCTAAACAGTGAATCTAGCAAGTCTAGTGTACTATCTAACAGTTGATTTATCTGACGAAGTCAACGATGGGATAAAAACATCGCCTAGTCAACATATTTATCTATACAACGCCTTTTTCACTGCAACTTCATCAATGTTGTCAAATAGCGCTGGATAGCCTACCTGAGGTAATTTTTTTAAAATTAAACACTATGCTAAACTGCAAAATATCTCATTGTGAATACTTCTATCCGTTTATTCCCAGGATATGACCGATTGCTTTCCATCTTTTTTAAAGTATCCTTGAAAAGGGGTTTTGACTTGTCAAATGTTGCAAGTTAATCCAAAATGTATACATTTTGAAGCCTATATAAAGAAACAAGCAGGTTATAACTGGTGTGTTTTATGTCATTGATCAATACGTGAAAATATTTAGAGGCTTTGTTAACCACAGACCTTATTTCGGGCGAATTAGCAAAAACCCATTAAAAAAAACCCATAGACTTTAGGGCGAGGGAATGGGAAGTGCTAAAATGCTAACTTCCTCGTTTTGGCCTACAAAGTGACGTCATAACTTCGGCACTCTATAAAACATTTAGTTCCAATCCTTGATTCTGATTGGTCAATAGATGTGCTTTATTTATGACAAAACACGTTTGTGACCGCTTCACCCAACGGTTCTATTTATCACTGTGCAAAACTCCTATGTTTTTATTTGAGCTTTCATGCATATTACACATTGGAACTTTGTTGCTGTTCACGGTCATCTTTTTTCTAGCGGAAGGAAGGCTTTTAGTGATTTTACTTCATGAAAGTTGCACTAATACATATTTTATTTTACTTTACATATTTTTATTTTTTTTAAAGGCAAGTGCTGTATAGTGAATAAGTAACAGCAGAAGGGGTTACAGGCACGTCGCAAAGCCGTTACTTATTCACGATACCGCACAGCCTCTTATACCTTATTGCTTACATAAAGGTCTCATTCTAAGGTAATAAAAACATTAAAGTTTATTTAGTAAGTTCTTTACACACTGAACACACATGCAGTTATGGATGTCTTATTGCATTTTTGTTAATATACATTTTTACACATTGCGCCTTTAAAAAGTGCTGTGAGAACCATGCCATGCTAGAGAGCTCTATAAAACAGTTTGAATAAATGGATAACCTTGAGGAGTAGTTAGTAGGGGAAGGGAGGTTTTACTTAATGTTTTTTTTTTTCGGCCTGAACATTCAGCTGACTTAAAAAAAAATACTATAAAATAATGTTGGATTTTTTTAATGTGGATTCTATTGAGCACCAGTTAAATAATGACTATGAATTTTTTAATTTAAGATATAATTCCCACAATACAGCTGAAGCTTTAGATGCTTTTGAACGCACACAGCTTTGTAACACCGCAATAATTAGAAACGATAGTGAAGCAAAGTGAATATTTAGGTCAATTCCTGTTTCATTACTACAGAGTCCCAAAAGCGAGAGTGAGTGAACGAGGGAAATGAGTCCGTGTCGCTGCATCTGTTTGAAATACGTAATTAAGCCCTCTCAGCAACATTCTTATTTTACCTTGATGATAAGGATGGTGAAGGTGCTAAAAATAGCTAGGTGGGATAGGCATTCAGAAGACTTCCTGTCTTATCAAGCCCAGGTGAATAGGCTACACAACACAGTGCACAGAAAGCAATTATTATATTTATAAATATTGAATTATAAAATTAGTTATATTTACATTTAATACAAGATTAAATTTTGTTTAATATAAGAAAAGGGTGAACAAAAATAGAGTACAAAATAAATAGATTTCAAGATAAATAAAACGAGACAAAAAGAATTAATAATAATAATAATGAAGTAAAATACATGTTAAACTTTGCGTATCATCACCAGTGCTGCAAATTGAACTTGACATTGTTTGTTTTGCAATGTCATTAACACAACACGTCAGCAGGGGGCAGGAGAGAACCATAAAAGGGACAGACAACCCAGCCTAACATCACCCTTCTGTGTAGTAGCTCGTGGCAATGATGTTCTAACCTATTCATGTCAACCTACATTTGTGCAAATGTTCTCGGTTGCTTACCCTCCAAAAACCTGTCGTAATATGTTTTGTTTAGCAAACCAAGGTTTCTTATTGACTTTTTCCGCTAAGATATGTTGCTATATGTGTGTGTGTGTTTTGTGTGTGGAAATAAACCCTAATAGCTTTCAGCATCTGCCCTCTCAGACAGTCACTGGATGCTGTACTTAGCTTTGAACCAGCTGCAAGCTGTGATATGTATGTTCATAGCCTGATGCCTATCTGCCTGGAGCCTTGTACTATCTGCCTACACACAGCGTAGGCTACGGCATTCTGCATTCCTAGTGATGTGCTTCCTTGCTGATGAGATCTTCAATTTTGTTCTCGGTTCCGTGGATTCTGTAGCCCCGAAAGATCTGATAATGGAGTTGAAAAAAGACCCAGGCCTACATATTTCTGCAAAAACATCTGCTTGGAACAACAGATAAATGCAAATTAAAGAAAACGCAGGTTATTTAATTCGTGCACACACATGTACATCCTCTGATATTGTCCAGACCTTTCTGCGGTTTTGAAGAAAAACCTTGCAGATCTCATTCTGTTTTCAAGACCATCAGCAGAGACATATTGTGGCTTTCTGTGGAGACATGATAAGATACGCTCTGACAGCTTCCTGATTCTCTTCACACTCTTTCATTGGCAGGAGCAAAAAAGCGCCAAGGGCTCAGGTGTAAGGGAGCTTTGGGATAATGAAGGATTTTATAACTTTTTCCCCCTCAAGCATGTCTGAACATAGTGGATCTTGTCCAAAAAGCAGCATGGCAATGTACTGCTGTATCTGTTGGCTTTTCAATTTTGCGGAGTTATCTGTTAGTAAAGGTACACAGCACGAGTCTTCTGTGTTTTTAATTCATTTACTGTTACATAGCACTACATATATGTGAAAATCTCTCATTAACACATCTTTTTAAAGGGTACATATTATGCTTTTAAATCATTCATTTTTACTTCTAAATCATACATTTTTGGTCCATATAAAGCATAACTGCAATGCTTGGGTCTGAATTCCTCATTATTATAGCTCCAGAGGCTCCTTTTCTACTCCTTTTCTGATGTGCGTCTGTGAGCGACCCGTTTCAAAGTGGCCCCTTTAAATAAAATGGAGTTGCGTCTTACCCCGCCCGCTCTCCAGGTAAAATTTTTTAGTTACTCGTTAACAAAATGTCAACAACAGAAGACTTGTCTATCAAGCCTTACATATTCGAGCCAGAGCGAGCAATTTGAAAAAGACGACGACGAACCTGCAGAACAAAGTCTTCATATGGATACAGGGGTATGTTAAGTTAACTATGTTGTGTTATTAGTGAAATTTGACTATTTCTCTTGTTAAAACAAGCACACTGACAAGATAAACGACTACGGTCCAATCTTACCATTAAAAATCTGTATTAATAATAATATAATAACTTGCGTGTAGAAAAGCATCAGAAAACACAGCAGCTAAATGATAGAAGGAATTTACCCCTCATTCAGACAAAGTAAGTCGATCGGCAAACCCTTCTGTATACTGGCGGAGGTTGTTGAAGTAGGGAGTGCTTCAGGTCACTACATCCAAGAACTGAACATTTTGACTTGCCCTCTTGTAACTTCTGCATCAAGCTCGGACTACAAAATCAGAGCGAGAAATAATAATGGCGGATTGCTCGAAGTGTTGGGCCGGTAGTCAATGTCCTTATTTGTCAGTTCCGCTGCAAATACAGGGTGACGTGATAGTTCAAAAAACGTCATAGAGAACAGAAAAATCTGAACAGGTTGAAAAATATGACCAAAACTGAATATAAAGATATAAACAAAGCACCTGAAGAGAATAATTTCATCTTTTCTGTACTTATAAACACTCCAAATATACAACAAAATGCATTTAAGGGCTAAAAAAGTGGATTTTGCATGATACGTCCCCTTTAAAGTCGGCATGAAACAGAAGCTGTGTATTCTTCCCTATTGTGATGTATGTATCCGAGTGAAACGGCTTCTCAAACCAGTCAAAAACAAACAAACAAACAAAGGCGGCACATGATTTCGCCCATTAGTAATTGATTGGATGGTTGGATCATTGTTTTGTTTGCTATTGGTGTGATTTCATGTGCAGAGAAACACGTCTCATGTTTACACGTTGTTATTATAGAAAATCATTTAAAAACATTAATCATGTGCATGGATAAATCATTTATAAGAAGTACTGAAATATTTCATATTTCAACTCTAAAAATATATATATAAAAAAAATTGAATTATCAATTTTGATTTCGTGGGGACTTTAAAATGAAAATAAAGACTATGATGCCATCCAGGCTATGAGTCACTGAAAACACAAGATTGCTTTTCCTCATATCTAAAAAAAAGTCATACT